GTGTAGAGTACTGTAGAATTGTACCATACTGGTTTCGATGGCGTTTTTTTACCCCAACATGTGTGTACGTGCCGTTCGGCCGACTCGAGAGCGAGCAAGGCACCTGTCTGTGTCTGTGAGTGTGTGTGTGTTGGGAGAGACAGGGGGTGGGGCGAACACGGTATGGATAGTAGGCGGGTGGGGTGGTGACTGGTACAGAAGGCGTACCAGAGGGCACCCACCCCGTTTGAATACCTCGACAGACCGGCACCGAAAAAAGGTCGTGTCTTTGAGCAGCTCAGTGGCAATATCGACCCTTTGAAGGACCTTCCAACGGCACACGTAGCTAACACCCAACTCCGGTTGGAGCTTGTGGCGAGGGCTTAGGGTTTAGGGGTTCAGTGGTAACATCGACCCTTTGAAGGACCTTCCAACGGCACACGTAACTAACACCCAACTCCGGTTGGAGCTTGTGGCGAGGGCTCAGGGTTTAGGGGTTCAGTGGCAACATCGACCCTTTGAAGGACCTTCGAAAGGCACGCCGAACAGTTGGGGCTGGGGCTAGCGTTAGACTTGAGGGTAGGGGTTCAGTGGCGACAGCGACCCTTTGTAGGACCTCCGAAAGGCACACCGACCAACCACCCACACCTACCTCCGGTTGAGGCTAGGGGTCAGGGTCGAGACGCCAGTCAGAGTCGTAGCGCGTCGCCCGGAAACCTATGGCATGCCTCGGTTGCCTCCAAGCACAACGCTACACGGCGACGTTTATCATTCATTCGGCCTGTCCAGGCGTGTATTCCCGGTCGTCGGGCGCACTATCCCGTATGCCTGGGCAAGAAAGGTTCTTGTTTTGAATACACCTGTGCGTTGTCTCTACCCCCCAAAGCGGAAATGAGAACCTGAGCCGTGGACACTTGGAAGCTCGTGTGCATTTGTATACATACAAAGTGGTCGCGTGCGTTCGTGCATCGTAGTGTTTTTGTGTCTTTCTGAGGGGGCCCGTGTTACGCGTGTTGCGCGTCCTTTGTAAGGGGAGGTCACGGTAACCCCTTGACCCACCAACATCTCAGTCCTGGCCGCCACCGACCACCATGACTTCTTTTTGAACCACCCGGCCGCTTTCCGAAAAACCTCTGCAGCGACGGAGTGTTGGTCAAGGACCCCCCACCCCCCGACAACACCACGAAACCCCTCGAAACGGGGGCAGCCACTCGGACGGTTTCCATTTATTTTATTTTTCTAACTAAGACACAACGAGTCCATCTCTATCATAGAAAAGAGTCAGCGACAGGTTGACAATGGATTCATAGCGTCAGAGAAAACTACCTGTATGTCTACGATTTCCCAGACAGCATATAGGGACATCTCCCCTGCGGGTAACAGGCTCAACAAATCAGTTTGGTAGCTGTCTTGTGTGTCTCATATGTTATGTTGGGAAGGTGCAGACGGATGATGTTGGGTACTGTTGGTTAGTCGGGCGTTTTGTGTGTCGCACCCTGTTAGTTGTAGGACATGCAATCTCCATCAGTTTACAAACGTATTTTCGGTTTGGTATGCATATGTGCGGAGTATGTGCGGCTGATATGCGGGCACACGGGCGTGGTCTCACCGTTGAAAAAAAAAAAAAATGACACAACGACTCCATCTCTGAGACAGATTAACAATGGAATCATAGTGTCAGAGAAAACTACCTGTATGTCTACGATTTCCTAGACAGCATATAGGGACAACTCCCCTGCAGGTGACAGGCTCGAAAAATCAGTTTGGCAGCTGTCTTGTGTGTCTCATTAAATGTTATGTTGTATAATTTCATGTCGTTGAATGTGCCACGGGCACGGGAGAACATTTTCTCATCATTGCCTCCTGATGACGTGGTCGCCGATAGAGGCATTTTATGTACGAACAAATCTCCTGGGTTTCACCTCAGTATACGGCAAAAACAGCCAACCCCCCCGGGCAACCCTCGAGCACTACTGCTGTACCTATCATGGCTTGGCTGTCTTTACACATGTTGGTTGGTCAAAAACGCCAGGATAGGTGCTGCAGGCAGCCTGTTGCACGTGAAAAAAAAAAAGTGGATTCGAAGGAGTACCACCACCCCCGCTGTGATGATGACGATGCCGCCTGTTCGCCGAAGGGCGCATGAAAACTTGCAGTGATCGAGCGGATGGCATTGATACACACCGATCATATCCGCAGACTTCCTCCCACAATAACCCACCCCCTGTGTCTCCATTTCCGACGCCAGCAAAGCTTTTTTGCTTACATGCATGGGCCGTACCGCCACAGCTGTCTCACAACGTTGGAACTGCTTTGTTTACCATCTCGTTCTTGCCGACGTGCCAACACCAAGGGAGGGGCGGTGAGTGTTACCACAGCACAACACATCTTCTTGTTTTTGTTTCCGTCGTCCCTTTTGCCCAAGGTGGAAGGGTAGATCAGGAACAGCTCAAGGCTTCGCGTTCAGGCCGATCGTTGATTCTGCCCGCAGATGCCCGTAACAAGCACGAAAGTAACGGCCGTCGACGTTGCTTTTTCGTCTCACAACAAGTTTGACAAACGAAGACAGCTCGACGAGAGCACAAAGACAGCTCGAAGAGAGCACCCCCTGCCTCCCCACTCATGGCCTATTTTTGCTCGTCGTGTCCAACCCTACCCCTTCAAGGCAGGTAGGTCAACGGACCCCGATACAAAGACTTCACGAAAGGAAGGACCATAATATGACACAACAGTTAACAGTCAACAGGTAAGCGTCCTGCCCGGTCATCCCTCCTGCCCGAAATCCTCGGTCCACTCGACGAAACGCGTGAGCTCCTCCTCCGATACCGAGCTTCCAGACTTCGTTAGTGCCTTGAGGAAGTCGTCGTAGCAGACGTCTGGGACCAAAAGCTTCTCAGTGGGAACCTTGACACAGAAAAAAAAGAAAACAGTTTCCGCCGGCGATGTGAATTAGTTGCTGACCTATCCCGGACTCATATTGGTGGAAGAGGTGACTTGTTCTCCCAAACAAAAAAAAGGACTAAATTTGAACTATCCCTAGAGCTTGTCCTCGGAACACACAACAAATAGAAGCAGTAAGCATACTTTACCTTCTAGACCCAATGCTATTTGCTGTGGAAGAAAAAAAAAAAACGTTGACGAAACACCTGGGCACACTCTCCTCTCCACAAATCGGGACCGTGCGTTAGGAACAACGCACGGCCTTCGTACAAACAGCACAATACACCGAATACAGCTGGAGAAGGGCTCATCACTGTCTGTTGGCGTCCATACCGCAACTTCAAAGAAAGTATTTTAATGTCGAAGCGTGTAAGCGTACAACGCGCCCACGGCGCTCGCCAAACCTTCTCCCACGCTCAATACACGCGTACACGAGCAAACTGATTGATACTGCTGACTGTCTTGTTGTCTTTACTACAAAAAAGTGCAGCTGGCGTCTATCAAGTACCTATGATGGATGGATTGATGGACACAGAGGCAGAGGCAGGACCTCTCGAAGATGCACACGACGACCCGAGGACAGAACAATCCAGATAGAAATAAAGCAAACGGGGGAAGCAAGCGCACGCCGCCACCGATGTAACAACAACAAAAAAAAGCCTCACCTCGTAAAGACTGATGCGTATCGCTTTGCAGGTGGGGCAGACCTCCCCCATCTTGGCTGGCCGAGTGGTGAGGTCTTGCGGACAGTATGGGCAGTTCGGGTACTTCTCCGCGGGAATGAGCATGTTGTCCTTTGTGGGTACGAATTGCTGCACACAGAAAGAACAAGGTCCGAGTGTTTTTTTCGGGTTGGTTTGTGTGGGATAGATTCGGCTGGGATGTTTACTACAAAAAGAAAATTATGAGATGGATTAGATTGTTACAAACAGGTTGATTCATCAGAGACAGAGGCAGGACCCCTCAAAATCTCAAAGAACACACGACGATTCCTAGAAGAGCAAAACAAGCCGACAGAAACGCGCAGACGGGGATAAGCAAATTCACAGCCACACCTCTAGATAATACAACAACTACGCAACAACAGCAGCGGCAGCGACAACAGAAAAAGACAAAAAGACAATACAGCCGGACCCACACGAGCTAACAGGTGCGTCCTACGTGTACACAGGCATCCACTCCAGACACAGCAACCACACTCCCAAGAAGAACGCAAAGCACACACACGCAGGTGTACGGACACCAGTAGCGGCTACGGTTAAAGAGAGAGTCGTGCCAAGGAAGAGAGCTGGAAATCTCTCTTCGATCCGACCTTCTCGCACACCCTGCTACGTTGTATATGCTCCTCTCATGGACTCAAAAAGCATTGCGGCTCTCTTCAATCCGTGCTTTTCTCTCCGATAGACATCTCTCCTACGACTGTGGTAGCCGCCAACTGCTGCATGGAAAGACCAACAAGGCGGGGCACGACTGGTCGACACACACGGGGGGAACCGAAGCGCTTTGCAAAAGACCGTGAGACGCAACGCCCCTTGCTGCCCGCCGCACCTTAGCCGTCTGGCATTTCCGTAGCGGCTCCATCAGCGCCTCGCGAGTGATGACGGAAATGTCCGAACCGGAGCACCCTTCCGCCTTGTCTCCCAGCGTTTCAAAATTCTGTGTCCCCGAGGGGTTGGGGGGACAACGGAGGACAGACAGGGCGGAGGGGGGGTGCGTACTCACGCCTTAGCGTAGCGGTTAGACCGTTGATCAAAACGCGTCCTCGAGAGGACGGAGCATTGCTCCCGGGGGCTCTGGAGGACCACGGAGGAAGTAAATGGAGGGGGGGGAGGGAGGGGGTTGGCCGAGGTGCGTCTACTACGACAGCTGGATCGCGCTTTGACGCTCTAGCGTACCGAGAGAGAGAGAGGTTACCGCCATCGAATGCGTCACACGAGCAGAACCGCATTACAGCAGTTGAATGGCGTCGATCTCGCATCTAAACCCTGACGGCTATGTCGCCGCGGAACAACATGGGAAAAAAACGTGGAGGCGCACTAAATGGTGCGCTTGTCTGTTGCTGCTCACTTGATCGGTGAGAGTGTTGGCCGTGTCGCCAAGGTGTAGCTTGAACATGATCGATCTAGCCTCGGGCTCTGGGAGGGGGATGTAAATTCTCTTCTCGAAACGACGGCGCATGGCCGGGTCGAGTTCCCAGGGGACGTTCGTAGCGCCTGGAGGTGGGTGGCGTTAGCGTGTAGGCATCAGGACGTGCGAAGCACACGTTCAGAGATACGTGCCAACATGAAGGGATGGTTAAGACAGGGAGGGAGAGGGAGAGGGAGAGGGAGAGGGAGCGAGAGAGAGTGAGAGAGAGAGAGAGAGAGATGGAGAGACAAGTAGTGGTGAGAGCTGAAAAGAAAAAAGCGTGAACTTCGCCGATCAGCGTGCACGTGTACCTACCCATGCGAATATCTAGCTAGAACGGCCACAGGCATGCACAAAAAAGAGAGGCATGCAAACGTAGTTGAACACGAAGCTCGGAGGCAACACAATTGATTTACATTCAAGGTGGCCTCAAGAAGGCAGGATATACCAACCAGCCGGTCGTGGGGGTCCTGTGGTTGAGGGATAGGTTGCTATGATCGGATCAATTGTGATGCCTCCGAGCTGCTCTCGCCTCCCAACCGAGCATCCGCTACTTCATGTTGACGCTGTCGCAGTTCCCATACTCCATGCAACCCAGCAATAGCAGCGTTCAAAGAAGAAAACGTTGGAAGTGGTACAATATTTCGTTTAATTCTTCCATCAGACTCTTACGGTTGACCCACCGAGCACGAGAATCCCGTCGTGCGTGTTTCCCACCCCCTGCATCTGCACCAGGAACTCCGTCTTGATCCTTCTCGCCGAGTCGTTCTCCCCCTCCGATCGGCTCCCGCACATGGAGTCCACCTCGTCGATGAAGATGATCGATCGCTCGTGCTGGAACCAGAAAACGCACGAGATGGAAGAGCACATGAATGACAAATAATAGTACACGAAGGAAAAAATGAACACATGAAGTGGCATGTGTTAGGCTTCAGGTATCGCATTCTTAGTCCATGGCATATAGTACTTCGAAGTAGGGGAACCCCTGGGTACATATTGTAGACAGTTATTAGTACTAGTTGTTGTTCACCGATAAATTTCGAGAGGGGAGTTCCTCAGCGATTGAAACGTGACGGAACTTGCGAGGGGTGACGCACCGAATACACGCCAGAGCGGTTTCCGTAAACTAGGCACCAACAACACACTTGGCATGGCGTAGACACGTTCACTCTTCTCGTTGCTTGTTTATGATGTTCGCTGGTTACGTGGTCTGTTTTCGTTCGACGGCTGTTAATACAGACCAAGTATTTTCTTCACCTCGCGGGCCAGCTCAAACAGGTTGCGGACCAATTTCTCGGACTCTCCCTGCCATTTGCTCACCTGCCAGACAAGACACGACATTGATATCGTTTAAAAAAAAATACACGGAGAACGGAGAACGGGTGGAAGGGCAACAACAACAAAAAAAAACTCAGCATGAGCTCAGCACGAGGTCAGGATACATGGGACATTCTTGAGGTGTAGACACACGTACGAAAGGAGTACAGATCTGTGAAGTGTTGGTGAGAATTGAATCACCTTTCTTCCAAAGTATCTCTTCCGACTCTCAACAGCTGCATTACTCCACAAACATACGTATCTAATTGGTCGCGGCAAGCGAAAACGCTGCGTGTGGGACCTGTCGAGTCGATCGTAAAAAAACCATATGCACCCGCGCCTCTCCTCTCCTCGGCTGTTAACTCCCTTGCTTGAGAAAAACGTGGCCAAACTGTCGAGCGCGTTGAACGGTGTATATCAGTATTTCTACTGTAGAGCAAGAACAAATGCCGCTGCGTCCCGACCTCCGTTCCTACGGCCTCTCTCATATCCCCCCACCTCAACTCCCGTAATATCCACATTTATCCACACAACCCCCCCCCCTGTTCCCGTCGTGTGGTCGTGTGCATTATCCCCTCCCCTGCCTACCAGTTCATTCTTTCTTTCTTTCTTTCTCTCTCTCTCTGCTCCTCCCTCCGCCTCGCTAGCCTTGTATTCCTGGCTTCCCACCACTTCATTCTCCCTGCCTGTCCCTCCTCCCATAATCTTCTGTTCCTGGCTTTCCACCACTTCTCTCTCTCTCTCTCTCTCTCTCTCTCTCTGTGTGTGTGTCTCTCTCTGTCTCTCTGTCTCTGTCTCTCTCTGTCTCTGTCTCTCTCTCTCTCTCTCTCTGCTATCTTCCTCTCGAATGTAATTTCGTTTCGTCTCATCTCTGATGTTCCAGGCCCCATTCTCCTTCCCTATTTCTCTCTCTTCTTCCTCCCTCTCGCACGTCCCTTTGTCTCCTACCCAGCCCCTACTTTCTCTACTCTCTCCCTCCTCCTAACTCACCAGGTCCGACGACGACACGGCAAAAAAAACAGCGTCCGATTCCGTCGCCACCGCCTTGGCGAGGTAAGACTTACCCGTCCCGGGAGGCCCGTAAAGCAAGATACCTTGCGCCGAGGGGGGGGGGGGGGGGGGGGG